AATAATTAGCATATTTAAAATTAGCAGCAAATTAAATTTGAGTTGTTTTAGTTATATATCCTTTAATTACTATTTATTTAAAAAATTCTAGTATAGTCAACTCTGGCTATACCGAACCTGCCTATACCAAAATTAGATTATAACAAACCAAATTTGGCAGAATAGATTTTTTATAATAATTTAAGCTAGTTATACTAAACTTATATAGTAAATTTTTATATACCACATCTAAACTCTTTTTTACTGGCTACAACTATTTAACATATTTCAATATAATGAACTATTTATATGACTTTGTTTATTAACCAATAAAATTTTAAGATTAGACACAATATAAATGAAATCACTTTTTGATAATAGTATAAAATTTTAATTAAGAAACTATCTTCTATAGCCTAATTAAAAATTTTTGTGAAATTCTATTAAAAGATACAAAGTTGTTTATAATCTAATTTTTATAGGAATAATAATCTTTTATCAATATGTGTTGTGCCTGAAGTTAGCACCCGAACTTCAGTAATCTAAAGTTATATCTTTTCAATTTAATATATACAAGAAATCTAATTTTAGATCTAATTTCAGTCAAGTGTAACTTCAGATATCTGAAGTTACAACTTTGGATGAATATCAACTTCAGATATATGAAACAATTGTTAAATTTATTTTGGTCACTCAAATCAGTTAAAGAAATTTTATATAATATCAAACTTAAATTGAGGTTTCAAATCAATAAAATTCTAAAATAAGTTGGGCTTAACAAAATGAAATTAATTACGAATGAATAGTCAATAAAAAAAAATCAAAATAAAGCTCTAAAAGTTAGTTACCTGAGCAATTAATTTAGAACAGCTAATTATACAAAGATCACTTTTAAAAGATTAAATTTTTTTTAGCAAAATATTAGAATCTTTGTATAGTAAAACCTTTGTATATACAGATAGTATTATTTTGTAAAACCAAACTAGATGCATTGAGACATTTTTTTCTTTTTGTTAGATTTATCATATTGTATATTCTTGACACCTTGATATATACAGCTACTCTTAAATATACTGTAATAATTTTTTTAATTGTTCTATTGTTTTTATTTAACAATAGTTATATAATTTTTTTTTGTTAAAACAATAGCTGCAAACAAAAAAAAGAAATCTAATAAACTAACATTCAATATACTGTATCATAATTCAGAAAAAGAATTTTAACAATTACTATTGTTATTATTTTTGCTTATAAATTATAGTATACTATGAACAGATTAGCCTTATTCTTATTTAATTTCTATACAACATATCTATTTATGCTTAATTTTAACTAGTGTAATAGTTAATTTAACTCTATTTATTTTTTTTGAATAACCAAAATAAGGATACAATATTTTTATACTATTTCAGTATACAGTATAAGTTGCTTAACTAAAAATAGCTTGTTTATATGTATCTATATACGAAACATACTGCATATTGTATAATTTCGATTTTGTTACAAAGACAAGATTATTGTCTGTAATTTAAAAAGCTACACAAACTTAATATCTTGGCTTTTATAATATAAAACCTTTAAAAGACCTGGCTGGCTGGCCTTTTTTTAAAAATTTCATATATAAAAATTTTTTTAAACCCTATCTGCTTATTAAAAATTTAAAAGAATTTTTTTAAACATTTTTAAAATTTAACTTGACCATATTATAAAAACCAATTAATTAATTTTATATAGCCTAAATTTATAAAGTATCAATTAAAAATTTTTGTCATAAAAATTTAGTAATTAAAGTCATTCATATCTTATGTAGTATTATGTTAACAAAAAACAGATTATTCTTTCTGCTTCACAAAAATACAATATTTGTAAAGAGAAAGCAACCAATCCAAATATTAAAAATATAGATCTTGCAAATAAGTATAATATTAGAAAGTCAACAATAACAGATATTCTAAAAAAAAGTAAACAATGGTTAGCTATTACAACTGAAAAAGAAGAAGAAATAAGAAAATTTTGTAGGCCAAAATAGCCAAAACTTGAAGAAGCTCTTGGTCTTTGAGTAGACAATGTACTTAATAGTAATTAAGATTTTGACAGTAATATTCTCAAAGAGAAGACAAAGTTTTTTGCAGACTATTTTTATATCACTGATTTTTACCAATCCAATAGTTAGCTTACTAGGTTTAAAAAATACTATGGACTTTATCAGTTTAAAAAAGAAGGAGAATCTGCAAGTATGTCTCCTCCGAAAGAAATAGAAAAAGACTAGCTTGAATTATGAAAAAACTCCAACCATATACTTTTGAAGATATTTGAAATGCTGATGAAACTGGGCTTTACTGAAAAATAGAACCTTCTTGTATGTTAGCTTGTTCAAAATTAGCAGGACATAAAAAAGAAAATTGTATATATCAATATTATGTGCTGTAAATGCAAATAGAACTAAAAAAATAAAACTTGCTTTATTCATACTATATTCCTTGCAAAATATTAACTATGATAATCTTCTAGTTCATTATTATTAAAACAAAAAAGCTTGGATACAAATAAGTATTTTAATGATCTTCTCCTCAAGCTTAATCATCAAATGAATCAAAGAAATCAAAAAATCATACTTTTGGTTGACAAAGCACTAGTGCATATTGTTTTTGATGAAACGAAAGTGAAATTAAATTGTGTACAGGTAGAATTTCTTCCAGTATATATGACTTCAGTTCTTTAATCCTGTGATATGAGAATTATCCATTTGTTCAAATGTCACTATAAAAGCCTTTTTATCCAAAACCAGATTAATATATATAACAATATACAAAATAGGGTAGTAAAAGAAATAGCTTCATATAATATTTATAATACTATAATTAATTTGGCTAAAGCATATCTGTAGTATCATCAAATACTATTAAAAACTGCTAGCTAAAAACTGGTATTCTTCTACAAAAAACTTTAAAGAACCTATCGAACTTAACCAAAATAGGTATAATTAGTATTAGTATATTAAACATTTTTAAAATCTACTTAATGTTAATATGAATTTATATTTATCTTTAAAAAACATATTTTTGTTAACTTTAATATTAAAAAAAAAATTTATGAAATGGATGATGAATCAAAACTTTCTGAGTTAATTAGCTACTTACTAACAAATAACTTTATAAATTCTTTACTATATACGAATATATTCATACAGAGGATAACAAAGTAAAAAACAAGCTTACCGAAAAAGAAATTTTAGAGATTGT